TTTTTAAATGGCGGTGTTTTAATCGGATGAGGGAATTAACTTATTCATTAGACTAAAAACACTGTCCCGATGTAAGTGCAACTCGAGGCTTCTAAAACGGGTCTTGGTCTCCTCGATTCGTAGGTGATATCGGTTCTAGGCTCTTTAGAGTGATTAAATAGCTGCTTTTTCAAAAGGATCGCACATACCGTTTGCCAATTACTAGTATATGTCGCAAGATAAACGTACGAGGTAAGCACGTGTTGGTCAGGTACTCGTACCGGGACAGTTATGGTCGCACTTCGCGGTTACCTAAGGGTCAACTTCTTTAGGATCTGCACGGCGAACGCCGGACCAATCTACTCCTATGCTGTTAGATATGTAAACAAGGCTTTCTTGTTGTATCCTATTGGTATTACAATTTCTGCTAACAGAAGGCGCCACATACGAGATACAGCATCTTATTAGAATTTAGATGAGTTACCTAATCTCCTCGGTCAAATTTGATAGGAGAATTGATAAATTCAATGCTACTTAGTATAAACTTCACATGAGAAACTAGACTCTTCTTAGGTAAATACTCAAAATCAGCTCTGGTTTTCCTTTTTCTTTTCAATTGTTCCAGATATTCGAAAGTAGATACTCTACGCATAATAATAAGACACGATTTTGTTTACCTATTCGTCACCAGCTGTTGAAAGATAAGGCCGATTGAAAATTGGCAACAGTGAATCTTCCTTCTTTTGATTGATAATTTGGTAGCGAATGTTAGTTAGAACGTAAATTAGAAAATTTGCACCCCGTGAGGAACCGGTCGAGAAATGCTGAGCGGAACTGTATATTAGTATACTGCAGTATCAAGATGGCACTTTTTAAATATAATAATAGTGAATGTTGGATAGTGCTCAGGAATCTGGGTTTCGTATGTAGTAATAAGATAAGCTATATATTGGGGGGGGGGGGGGGTTGCAATGCGCGCGACGTAAGACCGAAATTTTCCATAATGAAATTTTACATTATACTGCATTGTTACGGTACAACATATAAGTTAATCTGTTGTTAGAACTGTGCACTGCTCACCGAACGGTACCAATCATTTGAATCAATGATAGATCACGAGAGTATGCTTGTGCCGACCTTACTTAGTTTTCGTTCAAATGTTTCTGCGTATAGAAACACGCGTTTTTGGAGCAGACATATTAAATAGTGTCAAACCTGGTTGACATTCGACCAGAAAGCCAACTTCAACAACTTACGGTTCAGAGGTGGTGAACGGCAATGACGTTCCGGTGGAAAATATTCTACCGAAAAAAGGAGCTGCTGCTACACATGAACGTCAGTTAAACCATCATGGTTTACTGTCGTCTGGCCGGAAGGCCGGTAGTGAAGATTACCCTAGAGTCGACACTACAACGTACGTTGCGCACCGTTCCGACTTACGTGGCCATTTGCTTTCAGTCGATCGTCATTTACTAGCAGTACGTACCTGATCTGATTGACGGCATTTTAAGTTAAAGTTTTTTTACTACCACTACTGTGACTAACTTTCTACTGCTATTAGACTAATAGTCACCACTGGTGTACGCTCCCTGCGCCGCCACTGCTGTCGGTACACGAAATGTTTACAGATCTATTGTTTGGGATGGGGTTGGGGTTGAGAGTGCGTAGCTATTATCTACACAGATTTTGTGTCTTTTCGCAATTGTTTTTTTTTGCATTTGGGTGTCGATTTCCCACATCATCAAGTGTTGATGTCGCTGTCAAGTTGATATGTTTGTATGTCCATAGATATACGCAAACCGTTGGCCAAACGACTGTTCGGTTTAACAAATAAAGCTTGTGTAACTTATTCTCTAATAGTTCGACATTGGTAAACACTGCAGCGCCATCTTTTAAACTATAAAATTACATCGATCTCTGTCATTTTTTCCACCGTGGAGTGCGCCATCATCGTGCATATACACCCCAACGTATAGATCACTCTGATGACGAAGTTTCGTACGCGTATTAAGTGTGCACAATCCTCTATTAGAAATCTATATATTTATATGTGGCGGCTGCCACTGCTCAATCAGAAGGATCCATGAAATTTTTATCAGTATAAAAATATCACTTAGACAGTGGGAACAAAATGTTGATACGCTTGCTCTGCCATGTACACGATCACGACTACGGCTATATGGCAGACATTTCCTTTTACTACGACTAGCTATATCTTCCTGAAAGAATAAGAATATTGAAAAGGTTACAACGGTAAATATCAAAAAGTAGTATGTATTATATCTGTAGTAGTGTAGATTGTGCATTATATTTTTAAGGAAAAATGGCGTCCCGCCTAACTTCCGCCTTCACTGTAACCAGTCTGTTCGGTGAGGACAGCCGTCAAAAACAGATACGTCTTATTCGTATTGAAGTCGAATGATGTTTGAATACTGTTTGACATATATCGAAAAGACGATGCCAAACCCTATGAAACGATATTTGGTAATTTTTGATCGAGCGATGCTAAGAATATTGTGAATATCGACGGAAAATAGCATTTTGAACGTTTTTTTTGTTAAGGAATATATGTGTGGCAGGAGAGCTTTAGAAAAATCATAAGGGTTTAGAAGTACTGATCGTCATCGTCATACCTTTCTGCTCCTAAAGAACGCCCTGATAATATGAGGTTATATAATACACACTGTTACTTCTTTAAAGCGTTATTTGGTAACTGAATGAATATTGCCCTTCTTTTTTTTTTTGATATGACGGTAGATAATAGAGATGGAACGACATTTACGTTCGGGCGATGGCAATATAATACTAATCGATGAAAAAATTGTTCAGTCATACTGTATTGCAATTTTTTCTATTTTATTATTACCAGTTTGACTAAGAAACCCCCAAATGCAATGATTAAACCGGGCTGTACACATCTTTACGTTCGGATCACATAGTCACGAAACATGGTTCGTTTAACGAATAGAAAATAAACTGGATACAGGATTGCAGCCAAAAGATCCATATAGGACTACATTTCGCTGTATACAGGTCCTACTAATTAGAATCTTTGTAACTCTCCAGTCAATTAAAGTAAACAGTTTAAAATGCATACTCTCACAAAAAGAATCTAGTATCTTGAAAAAGCGTAACTTCGGCAAAAGTGACCCCACCCATGTCGCACTCTAAATCATTAGCAAGGCAAGAACTTGCTTTGATTAAGACATGCTTTTCTTATCTAATATCGTATAGAACGAGAAAGAAACTACTTTGAACAGTTAATGGTTATTAATGCTTTTGCAACGGCTCGCCAGCCTGCGTTCAACAGGTTACGAAAGATATATTCAATTTTCACATGCTGAGCTCTTCAAGTACCTACCATACAATGACAAGAGAAACTACTCAAGGCAGGATCGATCCAGGAAAGTCCCTTTGCACCCTTGAGTGTTAGCACTGTTTTTTTCATGCAGATTTTTAGCTTAGCTCTCATCTTTAACTCAAAAATTTAGCCTCCTTAAGGATAATCGACAAATTTGGCAGAAACTGTATTGAGAGTTTTCTTCGTAGAATAATGCCAAGGGGTACGTGCGCAAAAAGCCTCCTACAGCTTTGTACCGTTGTTGTCGGGAAGAAACGTATCTGTTGTCTGAGAATTCGACCTCGTCCGATCGTTCTTAGAAAAAATGTTTCTCTTGATGGACTTCCGCGCCAGCGAGCTCATGATATGCTATCCTTTCCAGCGTGTGTTCCCGTGAGGTCTGCAACTGCAGTTGGTTTTTCTACCGATGCCTTATATTAGCTTATGATGCAGACAGCTTTCTGGGTTTTAATTTTCTGAAGATCGTATTCGTCTCATTGACGGACATGCTGCTTACTAAGTCGCCATACAAATGCTGTTGTAAAGTTGTTGACACAAATTGGTCGGGCGCCCCCAGTGGAACTTAACCAGTTAAACCGGTCGTAATCGCATGTGGCGCAGGCAGAATTTCGTTCCGCCTGTACCATCGAAACCGTACGCTAATCTAATTGATACATGTGCCAATAGCTTGCCTACCTTCCTATGAAAAAACTGCAGCTGGACGAAGGTTTCTGGCAGAAATTGATTAAAACATACTGATTAACGGCTGATATTCGAAAGTTGCAAATAAGCGCTGGTATGGCGCTAGTTGTCTATGGACCACATGATCTGTTGACTATGAGTGTTTGAAGTTCACATATAATCACACAGAATCGAAAGTATAAAACATATGTGTCAAACTATCGGGGGTAGTAGGATTTTTTGTGTAGGACTAATTAAAAAAGCTCAAATCAATTAATACGTGCGCGCAAGATTAAGGTCAAACAAACCAGCAAGCGGTTTCGTCAAAATAACAGCCACGCAATCAGACCCATCGCGCCCGGCAAAGTACCGTTTTTCACGCTCTCTGCTATTTAACAGAAGGTAGCGCTCTTCCTTCCTCTACCTATTTGATGCCGAAAGTTGAAAAATGTTTTTACACATGGTCAAAATTCCCCGATACCAGCCTTTCTAGGTCAATTTGTCAAGCAGCAGGCATATCATTCAACTCTCTCTCCGTGAACCGTCCTACAGTGTAGATCTGTACGCTGTCCTCCTTTATTTTTTTCCTAATGTTTTCTAGCTTCTTCTATAGTTTTTCTATATTTCGTACTCAGGCTTCGTCTTCTATTTTCCCTTCACTTGCTATACTTATTTGGTGCTGCGGCGGTGGCAGTAGAGACCAGTTACCACTGTTATGATCACCCCACGCCGTGTTTTGTTCTTTGACTGCTGGACGATATGGTCGAACACCGGCCGGTCGGCCGGCCGCCCACTCCGCAAACTTTGCTTGCTGTGTTCGCTTCTTTAATGAAGAAGGTAAAGGGTTTTTGCTACTTACCGACCGCGCCACGCGCAACCCTTTCCCACCCGTTCACTTTATCCCTCCTCGCTGACTGAGTCCATCTGCGTGAACAGTCGACAAGCCCCGCAGACTGACAAGCTCGTGGCTTACATTGTGCGGAATAGATATATGCCTGGCTACTTATGGCTCTGGACTGTTTCGTGCATCGCAGCCCACAACTGTTTTCGCTGCAATTAGCAGTTGAACTGGCACTGTTGCTCGTTGACGATCGCACGCTCTGCGCTCCGCTGGACGACAACGGCGCAAAGCCGTGTCATCAACGTGGAGAGGCTTATAGAGCGTATTAGCTCGTGGGGAGTTACCCAGTGACGCGTAGCGCTTACACCGGCATTGGCAACGGAACGTCAGCTTTATAGATTCGCGAGGGGGTTTGTCTGAGACTCGAAGACAAACTAGAACAGTGATGCTGGTGGTAATGGTAATGATGATGTAATAGTACAAGATAAATGCTGTGATTTCACGAATAGATTGTTCTTGACTTTATGCCGAAACACGAACCGTTGCCGTCCTGCTTTCTCGGTCCAGTTTTGCGTGCTGAAGAGTCGCGCACTCTGGTTTAGCTTTGACTTTCTTATGTCCAGCTGTTTTGATAGTCGTCACAGCAGAAACAGACGGATCGCTGAAGAGAAGTTTCAAAAATCTGTTCATTCTCTAGTATGATAACGCATTGATCGAAGTTAAGTTCAGCACTCTGATAACTGCCATTTGCCCCGTGTGTGAAAAGTGGAACGTAAGAAGTTTAGCCTGTTCATAAAATGAATATCGGACGAAGTAGTTACAAAGGATACTCGATAACGGACACGGGAATGACACTGATTTAGTCATATACACTCAGTGGAAACGAGGGCACAAAATGGCAGAAGAAATCCGTGGACAGCTTAGAGATTTGTGATTTTCGAACGGTACGGCAGACAAAACGTGCGCCGAAATCCTCTTCTGCCTTCTCCAGCAGAAGCTATTGTTTTAGTAGAACTTTTTTTATGCCACACATTCATTTATTGTAACGACGTACGTTGAAGCAATCTTTCAACCCATATTCGCCTGTTTCGGTCTGATCTGTTACATTTGTCTGTGACTGCTAAGCAAATAATTTCAATGAATGAACGAATCTGCGATTTCATTCAAAAAGTCTCTATCATTGAAATGACTTAAACTTGGTTCTCCGCAAAATACGACCGTCAACCTGTAGTTAGCTTGCGGACATACGATCAAACCATATACGTACAGGATATTTGTACAGGTTACTGATTTGACAGGAAGAGTTAAACCGGCCAGCGGTAAAAGACTTCGTGAACCGAAGTATCGATCCTGAATTTTGTCAGGCACCGATATACTCGTAGAATGACGACGAAGGGACAAACCGGTAACGGCGACGGCAACAGTCACGACAACAGCATTGATACTAAATAAATTTTTCGGGAAAGCACAAGAACGGGTGCCAGAAGAGTGTATATGGAAAGCGTACCCCGCACGGACTGTTGTACAAAAGTGCTTTATGTATAGCGCAGTAATGGATATGGAAAACATAAGTTTGTATCTGGATGAATACACTTCTGTGAATCTGTGAGCAACAGAGTGCGATCCCAGCAGCCACCGTCGGAAAATACCTCGTCTTATCTAAATTGTTTAATTGGCTAATTTGGACGAGTAAAATCAATCGACTGATTGCGGAGGAATGAGCCTTTTTAAGATAGGAAAAGTATTACTGCCGGATACCCGCATCGTCGATACCGAAAGCAGCAGCGTCAACGTACTGCACTGGCGTCGATCATTAACGGCTTGTAACGGTAATTGTCAACTCTGCCACTCCAGGTAAAAAAACAAAGCTGTTTATAACTACGTTTCTCCATTTAGCCATGCTAACTCTTTTCCCTTAAGTAGCAAGATTAACGGACCCTATACGGACGCGCCGTCGTTTGAACAAGTTCCTTCCACCTATGAGTTAGAGTCCGTTAAGACCTTATCGATGATTACGCAAATCTTTTCGTTCGACGCACATCTGTCATATAGATGGTATTCTCACTCATTTTGCACAAACGTGCAACAAGCGTGCCTGTTTATTACACATAATCCGTTGACGCTGTTCCGTCACTTTGATATCATACACGATAATACTTGCACTCCTACCAGAGCTTGAACGCTTGCTAGAATAACGATTATTTAGTTGATTAGGTCCACGCGGGTGAACGAACATCGTGACCTCGATTCTAGATACGTCAAGTTCCATATTCATGTATTTTTTACGTATATTATATTCATGTGTTACTCTTACCCGTGAAGATAATTTGAATTAACGTAAAAAAATATAAAAGATTTTAGATAAAAGGTATATACATCTATGTATAGCAGTAGCGGAATTTTGACATGATGATAATATCTATTTTCTTTACTTTATGTCTTCGCTCGTTGATTTCGTTCACTGATCCCCGATAGACGGTTCATACAGGTTAGGTTGTTACCACCCAGCTTAGACAATAACGGTATCGCCTCGTCGCATTCGTCTATTAATATTTATGAATTCACCCGTAATGGCTGTGCCACCATGTATCGTGACTCTTATTAAAGATTTCGTCTGATTATTATCACTACGTAAGTTATTCATTTGTCATATCCCAAGACAATAAGATCTTTGCATCTGTAGGAGCTCTCCTGTTTTATTAAGTAGTTAGATCACCGTAGAGAGGGTCACGCCGTGCAGAGAAACTGAGCAGAATCACTGGAGGATGCATTCTTGGGTACGGCCTCTCAGAGGCGATGATTTCCCGTCGTTTTCTGTAAGTGTTCAGAGCAAAACGAACGACGCTTTTATCGGGTCAATATTTACCTAATTATATTTAAAGTAATCGCATAACGCAACCGTCCTAACAGGCCACATTTACTAGCGGCGCTCGCAAGGTTTGCAAGGACCTTTGATACCCTAGCTGGCCAACTCAACCAGCAGGAGTAGGGTAAAAAAAGCTTGCTGAATATGGTCTTTTCTTAACGCGATGGGTATAACTATTTATACATTTATTAATTACATACAATTATTTACATAGCAAACGTCTTCTACGATGGTATTCTCGTTTCATACCCCATGTTGATGTATCTTATTAACTTCCTCGTATTCAATCTATTCGACATAAATGGCATATGTCAGTGTTTTTGTGAGAATCGCACAATCCAGATCTTTAGCAATAAAATACTGCCCATGATGAGACCTCATATAAAATGTTTGAGAATACTTTTCAATTGATTCACAGCGACAACAAGATCTATTCATTCGGCCTGTCGTTGCCAAAGTTCGTGTTTGTGCCGGCGGGCGTAAATATGTTTCTCATTATATTACTGAAGCCATTGTGTGGTCTAGCGTCCTCCCCTTGAAGATGATATTGTTTATTAGAGTTTTCGTAGTTTGCTCTTCTATGATAGCATATGGTAGCAACAAGGATGATGATGGTACCGCACAAGTTGTCAGTGTAACCTGTAAGAATGGATCAATTACCATTAACGGGTTCGGTTAGCTTAGTAATCAAAGAGAAAAATCAACAGGTGTAGAGGGCATTCACGAAAGTCGCAACATCAGTAAAGTCAAGAAGTCGACGGTAACGATGCTCGTGATAGATAAGGCTGCAGCTTAATGGTACTCGTGGTTAGCCTCACGCAACATCGTATTCATGAATGTAAATCTAGCTCAAACAACCCCACAAAGTATTAAACGATTCAGACTTACAGCACATCACAAATCCTAATGCCCCATGGATACATATTCTCCTTGCTTTAGATACTTCCTTATAAAAATATTAATCACACTTCATACAAGCAAAACAAAGGCTATATAGTTTGAAGTAGGCCAAATAAATTCAATGTGAACTGATTTTGTGTTATTTATTTGATGCTCAATGATCCAGTGTAGCTATGGCAGAACAGTATGCCAGTCGACGTAACAGGTTGATCGACAAAGCTAGACAAAGAGCCTTTATCTTCTTCTACGATGTGCCGTTTCCATTGGCTCTAGCCGATGGGTATTCTTTGATCTGTTCCATCTCAGCATGGAAAATCTTTCCGTGGACCATAGGTCCGAGTACCTTCACTCGTAGATGCGCAATTACCCCTCAGCGTCAATGACGTATATTCGTTGGGCATTGGTTCAGGCGTTGTTCCTACTTGGCCCACTCGGCACTTCTCGTGCCTTAGTCACCTACTAAGAACTAGCGACAAATATAATGCCTGTCTATGTAGTTGTGTCTTCCCTGCCAAAAAATTACTAGCAAAAAAACAATGGTGTGACAACAATAACATATTATTACTGGCTTTCTTTATATTTCTTTAACGCTCTCATACGCCGACTCATCACGCCTTCTCACTGCTTTGAATGACTCGCCTAAACTTACGTCCGACTGTGCTACCTCACCTCATCAAGGAACCCATTCTGCATGCACAACGAAGTTGTTGTACATTTTCATCCCCACCCCGCCCCATAATGTCCATAGCTTCACGAACATTCGTTTGTATACATGTATAAGATATTATATTATATGGAGTAGCAAGATCAGCAATTGAACAGATGCACTCGTACCCAGTTCGGATGGCATTGGCGCAGGGTTGCCGATCATCGTATTTACGCGTAGCGGTCGTCATTGTTTTCGCTGTCGCTTCCTCTACTTATTCGTTGTCGTTGTTCTTGGTATAATCGCTACGTAACTGTTTGAGAAATTGTCTCATCAGTCGTCCTTGACATTCTTCGATAGTCCGCGCCTGTAGCGGCCTGTAGCTCTACTTGTCGGTGGTTTGCGTTGGACTCTTTTCTACTTTACGGCGCGACGCGTGGCTGAGTGAATGGAACCTGCAGCGGTATCAACGGCGATAGGCCGTTAGGCTGGCCGGACTGTCGCCACTGGCACAGTGTTCTCCCCGTTGACTATTTTCTTTCGTTTCTCGAGCGCGAGCTTTTTCCTCTGGAGGCACAACGCCGTTACTGCTAGCGTCTCCACCAAGCGCAGGCTGTTGCCGGCGTCCGATCTGGGTGCGGCAATGGAACGGCGATCCCCTCCCGCCGTACTTCATCAAGCGGTACAATTCATAACATATTACACTAGATCAGAGCGACAACGGACGAGGCTGCCGCTTCTTGTTCCGGCTGGATACTAGAACGCTGTCGTCTGTATTGATGAACCACGTCTAGTGACTATCGCTGCTGGCGCCCCTTACCAGTCCGTGCGACGCATAACAGGACATAGTTGTACAACAACTGTGTGGAACATCTATATATAATATAGTCGATACTGTTACAAGTCGAAACAGGGCTGTACCCTTGGGCTCACGTTTGTCTTTCACGCTTTGTATGCGTGTGTCTCTCGGCCACCGTTCTAACATAGTCGCCAATGGACCTGCTAAACTGGACCGGCGGCATTATGTGGCGTAGCCATACGTCGCCTGATTGTCGGACGCAGTCGACTGACGAAGAATGAAGTAAACGCTAGAAGACGAAGGAACGAGTTATTGACTGACTAAGTGGTTTCCGTCACATGCTTAACAAAGCAGTTCTTAATAGCTGGTGTTATTGCCACTGATGTTCATGGTAGTGTTATGGTCTACCGGTGCTGACAACAACAGCAGCAGTGCCAACAACAACAACAAATACTATTGCTTTCGTATGTTCGTTCGTCAGCAATAGCAAGGTCGATCTAGACAATTCGCGTCGCGTCGCGTCTGCCGCAGACACCCCTTTATTCTGAAAGAACACGATGCGGCGGAGTGCGTTTAGCCTATTTTATTCAATGCTGGGCTATAGCGAACAACTCATCCTTACTTCGAAATTGGGCCGAAGGGAGTTGACAACAAAGTTTCAGCAGGTCTGTTGTAATTTGTCTAAGTGTTATCCACAAAGTGACAGTAATGCATCCTCCAGTATTACGTTCTCGACGCTGATCATTTTTCATATGGAACAATTTTTTAGCTTTACTCTTTAGTAATAAAAATCTAAGCTAAGAAGAAGAAATGTAATAAAGGGACCGTTAACATGGAGTAGGTCTGTTAAATGGATAAAAGACAAAATTATGTAACAATTCTATCAGATGTATGGGTTCCATTTACCTATTGAGTCACACTTTTCGTGTAGCGTATGCTTTGATTCGGCGTGTATACACATCGAAACTGCAATTGTTATAAATACAGGATAGGGCACAAGTATGCTTACAGTCTATGTAATTTTTAGCTAACTGCTCTTCAGAGGACTTCTTGGTCTATGGACAGAGTGCCTCACTGAAAGAATACCGAGGTCACAGACCCTTAACATCAGTTAATTTACTGGGCATTTCAACTACGTCGTACGCTAACTCGACGGCGTTCCTCCTTGTTCGGGTCGCTTAACTAGGAGTTCACGAGGCCGATTCGTCATTGAGCATTTTATGCTGTTTCCCTGAAGATTTGCTAAGGAATTTACGAATTAAAAGGGTTGAACGATTTGGCTGACGTCTGAGGGTTTAAAACTGCTTCAGAATAATGCTATGACAGTTCAAGCTGATTAGTCCCTCGTCTGTCTACTAATAACTCCCCAGACGTAAATGCTAGACGTTGAAGTCTAGTCCGGATGCGCTCTACTCCGATGGGATGTCTTCCGCAGCGTGGATATAATCATCACCTGATCCGGTCGTATTGTTATCAAATGATAATGTCTATTCCCGTCTTGTAGAGGACGTCGCTCGGGTGGCGATGATTGATCTATCAGTTCACCGATAATATTGTGAAGTTGAATGTTTCCACATTATAATATAATGTTGGCGAACGTCAACTTAATGCTTGAAACACGAATATATGGTGAGACCATTTAC